CCCCATATTAAACTAAGTTCTCCCAGTACTTTTCCAGAGAGCAGGAGGAGAAGCCGGTGAATTGAGACAAGACCCACCGTGTTGCAAAGCAATGCCAAAGGTCTCCATCTCGCTGGGAGGAATGTCCAGATCTGCAGTATGAGATAGAGTTGCCTGACGATGGGGGCGGGGGAGGGGGGGCTGAGACTGACTGGACTTGGCGCCTAAAACAGACCAATCAGTTTAAAAGTCAACTACCCTACCCAATCAAGTGTTGCCAAGCTTGCAACCCCCTTTCCCCTCCCTCCTTCCCCCGCTTTTTCCTTTAAAAACCCCAGGCTTCTGTCTCTCGCTGGTTCTTTTTTTTTTTTTTGGGGGGGGGGGGGCAACCACATCTCGAGATGGCTTGAATAAACCTCTTGCATTTGCATAGATTCTGGCCTCCGAGTTCCCTTCATCTGTCTCCCCAGAAGTTAGGCTCCAGCTGGGCCTAACATCTGTCACTCTCCTTTGTTTTTCTAGGACCTTTCGGTCTACTTCAACTTCTTCTCTGACTACTACTCTTGGCAGTTAGCATCTTTCAGCCTGGCTGACCTATACTCATAGTGATCCTCCTGCAGGAGTGTGTCACCACATTGAGTTTGTTTTGCGATAATTTACGTTTGCTGTATTTTAACCTCTTGCCACAGCCAGGTTGCAATTCGTGAACAGCTGGGAATGCAAGGTTCAGCGTTTACGCTTTTAGCGCAACTGACACGTGTTCTGCTTAGAGCAAGCATTTCACTAACATGATTCGACTGCAGCCACCTAATGCTCTTGGGCCACTCACAAAGCAGCAGTGGTCGCTCCACACAAGACTTCATACACACTGTAAGACAATGTAGGGCTTCGCTTTGGGTAAAGGCTAACCAAACAAAACGAGGCCAGGGGCAGTTAGAGCGCAAGGCCATCCAGCCTCGCGAGAGTTGCGATGCCCGCGGGATCTCACAGCCAATCAGCAGCGAGGATGGAGCCCGCCGTCCGCGGGTGCTGGGTCGGGCCTGTGGGACAAGCCCTCGGCACGGCGGTGACACCTTTGGCCTCGCCGTCTCTGGGGACCGAGGGCGGCGCGGGCCCCCGCTGCTGTGACTGTGGTAGGTGCTGTTCGCTCGGAAGAGAGGAGGGCCGGGCAGTGAGCCCGTGAGCCCTGCTGGTGGGCGATGTCAGGCGATGTCCCCGCAGAGGAGCGTTCAACGGTCCCGGCCCGGGCCTGCTGCTGTCAACGACAAAAAATGGATCCTGGAGGAGAGGGCCCTCTGCAGTGGGGCTCACCCCGGGCGGTGAAGGCCGCCTGGGAAGCTTTCCGCCGAGGTTGGCATCAGTGTGGAGAGCTGGGCGTGTGGGAGGCTGGACTCTTGTTTCAGCTCATGGTTTCGAGCCGCCGCCAAGGAGGACGCACTGCAGTCACCCCTGAGGGCTTCCTCAGCCACATTTTCTCGCCCCTCTCACACAACCACATGGAAAGTTCTGTTGTTTTTTTTTTTCCCATCTGTTTTAGTACTTATCCTTAAAATAGTGTAATGCCCCCCCCCCACCTCCATCATTTGAGTTACTTGGACTTTGTAAAGTAAACCCTTTATTGGTGCTTTATTTGTTCTCACATTGCCTTTCTGTTCGTGAAGAGTTAGACACGGCCCACAGTGTAGAGCAGTATTAAAAGCTATTTCAGGGCTGAAGCGTGACAGAGGGCTTACCTACCGTGTGTAATGCCACAGGTTTGATTCCTGGTCCTGCTAAAATACAAAGCAAAAGCCAACAGTCAAAAAACCCCAAGTAAACAACAAAATGCTATTTCACCAAATTTTTTTAAATTATGTTTTTATTATTTAAAACAGTTTTGAAATTCAAATATATTTTAGTCGTTTTCTTTCCCTCCCCCAAATCCTTCCAGTTCCTTTCCCTTTCCTACCCACCCAACTTTAGGTTCTTTTTCAAAAAACAAAATATATACAAGACATACAAATATACACTATTGTATGTTTATATATGTATAATGTATATATAAACAATATAAAATCAAAATCCCCAAAACAAGAAAACAAAATAAAACACCACCCAAAAATCAAAACAAAACAAAGCAGCAGCAGCAACAAAATGCACATCAAACTACAACCAAATAAAAGCTCACACACACACACAAACAAAACTGTGGAGCTCAGTATCTATTGGTCAACTACTCCTGAGCATGAGGCCTGTTGATATCACCAGGTCTTCTTTAAGTGGTCATTTGGAGGAAAAACAGTTAAGCATATATAATGTATTCGACAAAGTGCTTAAAGGGAGTCAGACTTGGAGGATTAGAGAGTGAGGGCTGCCCAGCCCTTTTTTTCTCTCCTCTCCTCATAAAGTGTTACCTGAAACAGGTTAATTTCCCTCTGCCTTGTCCGTTCAGATGTAAAAATACGTGAGTAGCAGAAACCTCATGGAGCTGTTGTGAAGATTCAGTGAGTTAATGCTATGCAGACAGCTTAGAACTCAAGGCATACAAATGTTTCTTAACCCTTGCTGTCTGTTAGTATTGATTGAGATTTGCTTTAGAATAGTCATTCCTGTAGCACACAGCACACTCTTTGCCTGTTTCTTCTTACATACTAAGTACTAGCAAATGACAGTTGTGGTCATGTGGGCCTACAACCTCAGCACTCAAGCTGAGGCAGGAGGACTGTGAGTTTGAAGCCAGCCCAGCCTGAGCTACGATCCAAGGCCACATAAAAAGGACCACATAAAGAGACCATGTCTCAAACCAACACAAGAACAATAACTAACTAACCAACTAACTAACTAACTAACTAAATAAATAAATAAAATGCTGGGAGAGGATTAGTTTCATCACAAGTCAATTTCCTTGGTGAATTTATTATTTTTACTTTGTCTGGAACAGCCGTGAGTATCTGCCACAATAATAATCTACAATTAAAGACAGTGACAGTAAAACCTGGGGTGTGATAAATGCAGTGGTTTAAACACTGCATTTGGGTGTTTTGGGTAAATGATTCTGATGCAAAATCTGTAGCTTATAAGTAAAGCTTCCAAAGTTACTAGTAACATTTGATTGGCACAAAACCAGTCTGCCTTATAGTGAAGGTCAGGAATAACATTTGCATGCTAGTATTTGATGGCATTTTGTTTTTACATGATAAAAAGTCCTTATAGTTATAATGTATTTTATAAATTGCTATAAATTTCTTTTGTGGATAAATTTATCGCCTTTATGGCTTTAAACAAAGACCCACTGAATTTTGAAAATATTTGGACAACTAATAGAACAGATTCATGTAGAAATTAAATGCAGTGTTTTGAATACTGTTTAGAATTTTGTCATGTTCTCTTCCATAAAGTAAATTTTTTATCCTGATTTTTATCAGATTAATCAGTGGATACTAAATTATTTGTTTTTTGAATGCTGTACACTAAAACCTGCCTTCTTTGATGTGGATTAATAATAGTTATTGGCTCTTAATAATAGTTATTGGCTTCCTAATTAGGAAGGTGCTGGTTTCATCTTTATGTAAGGACTTTCATTGTTCAATACTGTATATTTCAAGTTTGTCAGCTTAATTAATACAAGTATTTTCTGTTTCTTAGGATTGTGTAAATAAATATATTCTTGGGACTGTACTGCCAAAGACTTTCATAATTTTAGTAATAGTAATTTGTTACATTTAAATCTGTCTTAGTCATGAACTTTCCTGTACTCATTCTTCACAGAACTCAAAGTGTAGGGAAACACAACCCAGGCAGGCCACCATTATCATGTCAGAGGTCAATGTGCTGTGTGTGTCTGTACATGTGTGCCTGCATGCCTGCGTGTGTGTGTATGATGTCTGTACATGTTTGTGTGCATGGGGGGAGAGAGCGAGGGAGAGAGAGAGAGCGTTGTATGCATGTGTGGCTGAGCTCGTGTGTGCAGGAGTATGTGGATGCCAGAGGAAAATGTTGGAATGTCTTCCTCGATTACTCTTGGAGATGAGATCTGGGTTCTCAAAGCTCTCAAGATCTGCTTGTTTCCATTTTCACAGCAGCAGGATTAAAGGCATGCTCTGCCTTGCCCAGCTTTTACATGGGTGCTAAGCACTCAATTCACTTTAGCCGCTGAGCCATGTCCCCAGCCCTCAAGGTTCAATTCATGATGATGAAATTATACTTTTAGTGTCATTTGGATGCAAGAAGTATTTATTTAGTTATCTACCTAAGTTTTTGGCAGTCACCAAAGCACCTTTGTTCAGAATCTTATTTGTGTCTCTCACTATACAATAAGATCTTCCCAACATAATACCATGACTTTTATGTTATGTTAATATTAATTATGTACCCTTGAGGCCTGAGCTCAGTAATGTTATGTTTTATTACTTTCAAGTAATTTTTGCTCTAATCTGGTAGACTGGTTTACGGATAAGAGTGTAAAGTAAGTACAAAAACCCTTTTTACATGTATCTTATAGGGGCCTCAGTTTTCTGTGTGATTTTAATCTCCTATGCATGTCTGCTATGATGAGTATGTAAGACACATAATGTTTACCTATCATGTTTGTTCTATTCTTTTACATAAAGGGTCCTCGCATGTTTCACATATTTTGGCATATGTATTTAAAGTAATTGTTGGAAGGCTGAGGTAAAATCAGATTTATATCAATAGGAGTTTATGAAGACGCTACGACTAGAAATTTAAAATAAGTCTGATTAGGCGAGTGTGGTGACATACACCTTTAAAGCAGGCTGAGGTGGATCACTGCGAGGCAGAGGCCAGCCGGGTTTACATAGAGAATTCCAGGCCAGCCAGGGCTACATAGCATGATCAAAACAACAACAACAGCCTGATGAGGGAGATGAGCAAGTATCTGTAACATTGGAAGCTATAATGCATCTGTGTTTTTGAGTACTCAGACATGCGCATTAAATGTTTTATTTTTGCCTGATTTCATTAGCATTCACTTTCAATCAAAGTAATGGTATCCTTCACCCTCCCATTTTTTTTTTTTCCAGGTTCGAAATCTGATATTTTCTTTGGTCTGTGGTTTGAGGTCTCATTGCAGAACAAAAATGGGAGATGCTGAAGTAGGCAAGAAGATCTTTGTTCAGAAATGTGCTCAGTGCCACACAGTGGAAAAAGGTGGAAAGCACAAGACAGGTCCAAATCTCTGGGGCCTTTTTGGACGAAAGACAGGACAAGCACCAGGATATTCTTACACTGATGCAAACAAGAACAAAGGTAAAGGCCAGAAGCCGTGGAAGATGATCAGAGATTTTGTTTGAGAAAAGATGGGCTTGGTTTGATGTTCACAAATTTGCCTAACTTATTTCACTGGAGACACACTACTGCGCTTCTGCTTGTGGAAATGCTGATTTTTGCAAGGACCTGATTTAGATAACTCATCCATTGGATAGAAGAACTTGCAGTCTTTCATGGCATCAGTTTTGGCCCATGTAGACTGTTTTATATGTTTATTTTGTATGTCACAGTATCTTGAAAAAGTGTGAGCTGAGTCTAAAAAGAGGATATTTTAACAGCAGGGTAGCAGTAGTGGTCGTATTTGCAGTAGTGACTCTTAGCAGGGTTGGAGACTGTGGTTTGAAGATATGCTTAACGATATGTTAGTTATTTGTTGGTAGAAGGGAGGGTGCACTCCACCGCACATACGGAGTCAGAGACAACCTACAGGAATAGGTTCTCTCCTGCTGCTCTGTGAGTCCTGGAGATAAAGTTCCAGACTTTGAGTCAGTTGTTTTATTGTATTCTGGATGTGCAGAAATGCTGGTGAGGAGGTGTAGTGAAGGACTTCTTATTTCTGTTGGGTTTTTGTAAGGGAACTGTAAAATCCTGAAATGTCCTAAGTGAGAGTATTGTTTCTGTTTTCACGGTTTGTCCCTGGGACCAGGATCTGACTCTTGCTGATGAGATGGCTCTGGGCCTAGATGATGGATGGGCTTCTAGATCATTCTGGACAGGGGCTGACCGTGCTGCTAGGCTCAGTTCATGCTAAGGGCTATCAGGCGGCCTTCTAGGGACAGAATAGGGATTGAGATTCTGAAACTACTGGCTGTCATGCGACTATGAGTCTGTTGGTCATGCGTGGGGACTGAAACCCCATTGTAAGTTCCTTATGAGCTAACATTCTGGCAGAGTGAAGAGGTCCCAATTCTTAAGAATATTTCCTGGAAGCATCTGGAACCCCCGACCTTGCCTTGTGGGCCTCTTAGGCCCCTGTCCCGATGCATGGCCTTTATAGTCATTGTTGGCGAGCCGCTTTCCTGAGTCTTGGGAATTGGTCTAATGAATCATTGAAATCTGTGGAAATTTCAGAAGTTTGGATGGCGAGCCCCTCCTCCAACTCGATGTTGTAGATTGTTTTGAAAACAAGGCCTTGGTGCAGGGGACCGTGGAGTGTGTGCTGACTAACACAAACTAGCAATTACTGTTAGAGCTGCGTTATGGTATTGGAATTAGATTTTTAGTTGTTGGACTTCTGGGTAAGTCAATTGTAAATCACCTTTGTTGCTTATATTTTATGTCTCGCTAATCTGGGGAATGAACTTCTTTGTGTGGTACTTAGAAATTGATCCCAGGGTGTCACACATGCTTGGAACATGCTCTAGCGCCGAGCTGTAGCCTCGTCTCGAGGAACTTCTACAGTGATGTTTCCCTCCTGTCCTTTTATTATTCTTGTTTTGACAGTACAGATGGGAAGTCCTGATTTTTAGTCTAGTTATAAACCACAGTTGAATTGATATTAAAACTGCAGAGCGGTGCGCTGACCTTCAGCCAGTTGCCTCCTTTTTTGTACAAAAAAAAAAAAAAAAATGCATTGTTAATTCATGAGGTCCCACTTGTCAGTTTTGGGCTGCAAAAATATCTCCCGCAAGGGGTAGGCTTGCTATGCAAGTATGGTGATACTCAGGTAAAAACAGCTGCCACCTCTGCAGCAGCAGGGATTTGGGGATGTAAGAAGCCACCGGTGTTGCTGAACGCACTGATACGTGAGACACTGAGGGAAGGGGAAGGAAAAAGAAAACAAACACATTCACTAAATTAACTAATTCAGGATGAGACCAGCGGTCAGTACTGGGATGATAGATTACAAAGCGGAGGTGGGAAACGTATATTGACAAGGGAACATTAGGAGCAAAGACAGAGGAGGGGAAGGCAGTTACGGCTGAGTTGACTGCAAAGAAATGTAATCAAACAGTGTGAGACATTGGCAGTTCTTAGGAGGCCGAGTAAGAGTGGGCATACCCAGCCACTGTGTTGTTTGAGAAAGGAAAACAAAGAAGGGAGGTTTGGGGAGACTAGGGAGGACAGGACCAGACCAGAGCATGGTTAAGAGCTGCCTGCCTTGACAGAAGGCATTAAATAAAAGAGGAATGCATGAAGGGGGCAGGGCCATGGGGGCTGGAGCGCACGAGCACCATCTCGCTGCTTGTTTGCTTGCTGAAGTCATCTTGGGTCCGTCGGTGTTACTTCCTAGGTGTGTGTCATATCTCCGGGCAGGCCTGCCCTTGCTTAGGCTCTTCCTTTCAGAGATGAGGTTGCAGATGTGGTCCAGCCAGTGAGCAGTACCTTACAGGAGGAGGGTCAGATGCTGGTCACACTTGTGCATACACCCACACCCAGAAGTCAGGTCCTTGTGTCCTTCTGACTGGTTTAGAAAGGGGAACACAAGAACTTTTACTGTCATCTTAAGAGTGGTCTTTTGGATCCCAGATTTCCATGAGAGATCAAGATAGGTTTGCGTGTGTGTGAGTGTGTGTGTGTCTGTGCAGAGGCACATACATGCCACAGTTTACTTGCGAAGATCAGAGGACAACTTTACGGAGCTGGTTCTCTCTTTGTATTGTGGGCTCTGGGAGTTGAACTCAGGTTGTCAGGTCAGGCCTGCATGGTGCTTTTACCCACTGAGCCATCTCTCTGCTTAGTTGTCAGAAATTCTTTAATTCAGGTAGCTTTGTCATGTTGGGCAAGTTACTTTCTTCTTTGGGCCATGCTTTTGCCCATTTTCAAAATGGAAGATCGGAGTCCATGGTGCCTGGGATCTTCTCTAGAAGGGACACCGTGATTCTGGGAGCACAAGGCACTAAGTAGGCACAGCATGTCTGGGGTCATTATTCATTGACATACTTGGGTGGTCCAAAACAGCATGTGGTGTTGGACTTCTGTAGAGAAGCGAAGAAAAGGAACAGACCCATTTCTGGAACTTTCTTATAGGTCAGCCTATATTATTAGCTAAACAGTCTTCCCAATTAATGAGAATGGAACCTTTTTTTCACATATTTGGGTCATATCAGACAGTACACCCTAAAAATGTAACTACAAAGACTTAATACTTATTTTCAACTTTATAGGTATTATCTGGTCAGAAGCAACTTTGCTGGAATATTTGGAGAACCCAAAGAAATACATTCCTGGCACTAAAATGATCTTTGCTGGTATCAAAAAGAAGAGTGAGAGAGAAGATCTTATTCAGTATTTGAAAAAGGCAACATCCTCATGAAATAGTATTACAGCTTCAAAAATATTACTTACCAATTTCAAATATTATGTTTAATAAGAAGTATACCCGATTTTTCTCAAACAGCCTGAAGTAATTTTAAACAGTGAAATAAAGGTTGATATTTTTGATGGTGTAAAGTCCACTCATCAGATATCCTTACAAGCGTACACTTGCTTTGATCTATGCGCTAAGGAGGCGTTGATCAGAATGAAGGAGGGAGGGAAGCAAACAGATCTTTTGCTCGTTAGTAGTCTCTGCATGCTCAAAATGTTCTGTGAACCTGACAGCTACTGCTGAGGATGGAGCCAGCATGTGCCTGATCCTCTGCGCTTTAAATGTGTGGAGCAGACATCAGCTTTAATTTTCATTAAGCTGTGTTTGTCTTTTACTTAAAGTAACTTCAAGGGGGGAGTAGGGAAAAGCTAGTCAGTCCGATGCCTTAGGACTGATTTGAAAAAGAAAAGCAAATTATTGATTCTGGGTAAATAAAACAAAATCTAGATAGAAGGAGAAAATCATGGCCTACTTTGATAAGCATGACTTAGAGCTTGGAACTGTTTTTGTACTTATATCTTGAAGACCTCATTCTGATCCTAAATAATACAGAGCTGGACTACAGGCTCTTTTAAGGGGAAAAGAGTGGGGGGAAGCCCCAGACTGCCTCCACAAAGGTGGAGGAGGATGAGTGAGAGTGAGGCATGGAGAGGCGGTGGAGGGCACCGTCCACTGTGCAGTGAGGCTCGTCCTGAACGCTGCAGGGCTGCCATCCAAATGATGGGGTCCCAGCGAGGAGGGAGTAGCTTCCTTACCAAAGCGGTGGGTAGAAGACCAGTTAGGGTCGTTATGGGCAGGGGGAAGACACCTGTTACCTCATTTATTCTTCACACCATCACCCCGGGACCTTGGGAGTGAACTTTATCTTCTACAGCAATACATACAGTTTAGTTCTGGCCAGAAGCGAACTGTGGATCCTTTCTTCTACTTCTGATAACGTCTCACCTTTATCATCGTTTGACTTACAGTATATACTGCTACTATGAGGTGAATATAGTTAAAAAGGAACAAATACTAGAAGCCTCTATCAAATTTGTAAAATATCCAGGCCTAGCCTTGATATTTCTGACAAGCTGGAGAGAATCTACTTCTCTGGAATGCCAGGGTCAGTGTTACGTGAACATGTGTCTCTGGGGATCAAGAGTGGCTTCAGGCAAGGCTAAGCTTGTTACTCTCTCCCTAAGGGAATTTTCTGAGGAGGGCAGAGGGGTTACAGGGCCTGTGAGAATGTGCTCAGAGCAGAGCGAGGTTTGCAAAGCTATATGTGCGATTAAACAGTATAACCATTTTCTAGTTTGCATGTGGCCCACCAGCTCTGTAAGATGGAACTTGAACTCAAATCGCATTCACAACCAAATCACATTCAAGTCCAGATTGACACAGCCCTGCCAGAAGGATTTGCTGGCATTCGTTGCTCCAAGCCCACGCTCCTGGGAGGAGTAAGAAGGTTTTGGGCTTAGAGCCTGAATACTTTGCCTTGGGAGGTATAGAAACAGCTGTGATGAGGACCAAGATGATAAATGACACTTGGGTAAAAATGAAGTATTTAAGTAGTTTTATGCTTACAAATGGGGTAGTAAGGTATTGAGTTGCATTAAACTTTAGTCTTAGTAAGAGTAAAAATAAGTTCCCCATTTTGCTAGTAGCAATGTTTCCATTCATTAGAAAAGTTGGAGGAAGTGTTAGAAATGAGCATGGTAATTAAAGTTGTATATTTCGATAGACTTTCTTATTGAAGTTGTCTCTGAGAGGCTTACATTTATTTTGGGATGGCTTTCTATGAAATCGCTTCTGGCCATGCCGATGGCTTTATTCTGTGCCAGTTCAGCTACGCTACAATTGAATTTCCCAGAATTCTTTGCAGAGGTTCCAGCCAGGCTGGTGACAAGAGCGATTTGCTTCAGACTGGGAGGTGGAAGGGCACAGCAGAAAGCTTTATATTTGGAGGGTCAGCTCACAGCCCTGGATACAACCTACGCTTGTTACACATTTGTCAGCAATCCTGCGTGGTAGACTGCAGCCCCTCAGATTCCTGCTGGCTCTTTTTCCTGCCTCCTGTGAATTCTAGAGCAACTGTGTATGACGCTTTGAGGGAGGACCTGGCTTGTGGAGGTCACCCAAATCAGTGGCGAATGCATGACTTGTTAGCAGAATACCAATTTGTCCTCTTGGGTTTATCCTTGCTTCCTTTGTGATGTTTCTTTCCAACCAAGTGCCCTGGGGACTGACCCTTTAATGACTTTAAGCCCATCTCTAGTTGCACAGCTAGTAACAAATACTCCAGTCTGACTGAATTCCAGGCAGGCTGCTTTAAGTCCCCTTCTTGACTAGGCCTGGGGTCTTGGCCTCTCCTTAACTATTTAGACCTGATGTTAGTATGAGTCCTACTATCAGTTTAGCAGATGCCTATCTGTCTTCATTAAGAATCCTGTCAAATTGATTTACCCAGAATTCTCTTTTCCTCTGGCTTTTCCTCCTCTTACTGCTTTTCCACTCACTGACCTATCACTCTGCTTCTGGGCTGTAAGCCCTGGGTTGTTTGGTATTCAGTGTTGAGCTGAATTTTACTTCAGCACCCAAATTCCCTATTGCAGTTGTCCCTTAAATCAGAACAATTTTATCTTCAGTGTCTTTAACAGTGTCAGAATAACATTTTTTCCTTGATACCAACAGCCGTTAGTCTTCATCAGCTCCTCTTTGTAGCCTCAGTGACTTTGTTGTGAACCTTCAGCCATTCACATTTAGAAATTTTTCTTCTTCCTAAATTTTGTGTGGTTTCTTCTCTGAGGTGAATCTCGTTAGCACTCACATGATCTTGCTCGCTAGACAAAGGTACCATGGAAACACACACCACATTGTACAACACAATTTGTGAGCAACAGGAGCCTCGGGGTTATACGTGGATTGTTCTTCCATCTGAGTTAAGTGTGCCTTGATAGTGCAAGAAGAGAAAATAAATTTACTAGTATTCAAAATTGTCAAGTTATGTTAATGTCTCCTAATCTTAAATAGTCAAGGAAAGAACACTTACGGTGGCTAGAAAACAATTTATGAAGATGAAATTTGAAAAAGTAAGTATTCTCATTTTATGGCACCCCTTCCAAGAACAGAAGACATCCAAGATCAGGAAAAGTTGTGTTGATGTCACTCAACAGAAAAACACTCAGAAGAACTGAGAAGTCAGATGGCTTTCACACTGTCTGTTCTCAGTCCAGTCTTAATGGAGCTCTAGAAGAGTAGTGTGCCTGTTCATGTAGAGTCGGAATGTGGAATCTTCACGTGACACACAGCCCTGTGCGTGCGAGACAGCAGAGAGAAGTCCAGGAAATAGACTGCTGGATCTTCCCTCAGTGTACTGCACTGGGTGAGGTGTTTCCCAGATGGAATGCTTGCGTTCATGTGGGGAGCACCTTGATGTTTGTCAAGAAGGGTTGACCTGAACCCCGTGTGCTCCGTGACACTGTGTAGTCACACACACTGTAAAGCATGCTGTTTATAACGCTGTGTGCTGCCACATCATCTGGAAAGCTGGCTTCTTTGCTTAATTCTCCCTCTTCATCACCTTCGACAATAACACAGGTAAAATTTTTCTGGATTGTGTCAGGCGTGGTGGTCTACACCTGTGATTCCAGCACTCGGGGAGGCAGAAGCAGGCAGATCTCTGTGAGTAGAGGCCAACCTGGTCTACAAAGTGAGTCCAGGACAGTCAAGGCTACACCCCCCACCCCCACCCCCACAAACAAACAACCTGTTTTACAAACAAACAAACAAACAAAACTTCTCTGGATTACTTGGTGATCCTTATCATCCACATGTGAGTTGAAACTGGTGTCACTCAGTTCTTCTGCTTGAACTCCTTTCTGTGCACTCAGGGGGACCTCATTTAAGCACAGAAACTAAGGAGGATGGTGCAGGAGGGATCTGGGTGCTACTGTGGACACGGGAAGTTATGTGCCCATCATAAGAGCCAGTGACAGATGCAGTAAGTGGAGAAGGAGGCATTTTTTCATATGTAAAACAACTATGTGGAGTGTCAGAGCTCTCATTTTCTAATATATTTTCTTTCCATAACCATTTACTTAAATGCAGTTCTCTACTCAGGAAATTCAATATTCAAAACAAAGTCATTCTGTTTAAGAAGGCCTGTGTGGGCCGTCCTTCCTACCCTCCCATATCTTTCCTTTCTATCCCTAAAGGGTGAAATCCTAGGTGTGGTGGTATATGCTTGTAATTCCAACACTTGATAGACTGAGACAAGAAGATACGGAGTTCCAGGCTAGCCTGGGCTACACAGTAAGAAGTTGTCTCAAGAAACTAAAAAGCAACCAACCAACCAAACATATAAAACAAAAGAAAAAATGGGAAAAGGATGAAAAAATAGAAAATTAAAAAAGAAAGGGATATGAAAATTCTCTAAAAACCCCTCAAAAACATACAAAATGTATGTACCTAGTCGGTGCTAATCCTCAAATGTGGGATTAGACCCGGGTCCTTGACCTCCAATGTCTGACTTTTCTATCTTTCAGGTTGGCTATATTTAAGCATTTTAAAGTTGAGATCCATATCCTTTAAATTTCCATCACCCATATTTAATGTCTGTCCTATAAAAAGATCTGTAGAATTGTTTGGAATCAAAATTTTATTGTATTTATTCTGCGAAGAGCCATAGTTTTAGTTAACATTTTTTAGGGGGGGATAAGATTTAGACATTACATGAAAATGCTGTCTATATAAATGCAGTTTGGTAATTAAGATGAAGGTGGGAAAACATGTGTGCCCTTGTCTGCCATGGTAAGAAAGTATTCTGCTATAGTGGAAAATACTCATCGGTTGGTTTATTCAGTAAGTATCTGTTATACATTGTTTTATCTGGTCCCCAAAGTAGGCCTCAATAAACATTGTTTCTAGGTATTCATGCCTGGAAGTTCTAAGTTTGTTAGGCTTAGT